GCCCGGGAGTCTTCAAAATTGATTCTGGACTCCATGAAGTCTCATGGCTTCAGGTTAAACATGGGCAAGAAAACCTCCTGTTGATTACCAAGTACCAAAATTTACTAAACACTCCTTCACTACATTTAAAGTAATGTAATCCCTTGTGAAACACCTTTGGGATTCATGGTTCCATTTCAGAGTCTATAACCAAGTGGAACCATCAATCTAACTGAATTGATAGAAACCACACCATAATAATGGAGGGTTGTAAAGTCAGTCATGAAGCACTCATCAAGTAATGAAAACCCTCAGGCTTATGTCAACAGATCCAGTGAAATAGCCAGCACATTTTTAAAAAAACATTGCAGATTTTTGTTCCCAAATATTTAAACAGAAAGAGTAAAAATGTCTTGAGAATTGAAATCTCATTTTGATGGCTGTATTGATAGTTCCTTTTGACAACTCTGTTGGAAGGTCCTTTTTGCTACTTGTTGACATTTTAATGAGCTTGGTAATTCCAATGAATTTAAGCACTTTGCGTGCAAAGTCACGTCTACCTTTAACAATCCTAAAAGGGCAACTTATCTGCCCCAAAAGTGTCTCAGGACCATTTCCAAAAGGGTAATTTAACTCTCAAAAAGAGTACCTATCTAGCAACTCCTCGAAGTATAGACCTGTTCCTACCAGGTCTAAGCTGCACATCTCATTTCCCACTACTAGCTGTCATAAAGCAGGTATGATGGGAGGCCTCCTGCAAAAATGATAAGTGCTATCACTGATGGATTCTCCAAGATTGCTGTGGAATAGAAAAAGCAATCCCACTTCCTCTTTTTCACTCTTATCACTCACTTGTCGGACCACTGCTTAAGCTACAGGACAAATTGGCTCCTCACAGTCCTCCAGTCAGATCATAACATTATTAAAATCAGGTTTGAACAATACAATTGTTCTTGGCACAACAGTAATAAACAGTAAATAAGGAATACTTTTGTGCATTTATTTATTTCTAGAAACAATATATACTGACTTTTATTCATTTCAGAACATGGTAGTAAAGCAAAACCATAAATCTTATCATAAACTCTTTCCTGCAGCATGGATGCTTTATTCACAATTTTATCGGGTTATTTTAAATGATTGATTTGAATATACAGTAACAAACCTTTTAAAAAAAGCTAAAGCTTGTTGAGCTTGTTTCTTGCACCTTTTGCCAAATACTTACCTGAATTGAACACCAAGAAAGCAAATAGGGGCCATTTAATTTCATCACATTCTTTTTTTTGTCACATTCTTACCATCTCAGTGAGAAGTTTATTGGTCCTCTAGTTAGCAATCCCCACAGGATTGTGGCTGAGCTTAAAGTCAGCAAAGTAAATGGTCCTTTAAAAAAAACACTGCATGTCCTCCACGAAAAACTTTTTTTCTCAACAATGTTGCCAGACCTCCTCTGTTTCTCAGCATTCTTTTCCTTTCAGATTTCCAGCATCCGCAGTTCTTTGTGTTTATTTTACTGCACAATTTCACTGCACAGAAGGAGAAGACTTTACCAATTCTGGAACAGATCAGAACAAGGACAGGGAAGGTTTCGCCTTCATTCCTCTCACTTCTTCAGATATGTCTGGACATGGGTACCCTCATGGGTCCCAGTTATGCTTGTCTCTTTGTGGGTTATGTGGAACATTTCTTGTTCCAGTCCTACTTGAGTCTATCTCCACAACTCTTTCTCCGGTACATCAATGGCGTAATTAGTGCTGCTTCCCTCTCTCCTCTGGAATTGGTAAAAATTATCAATTTTGCTTCCAATTTTTACCCAGCTCTGACTTTCACCTGGTTGATGTCTGACTCTTTTCCTCAACAATTCTGTTTTGAATCTCAATGTAAGCTGTGGGAAAAACACCTCATCTTCCTCCTGGGTACCTTACAGCTTTCAGGAATCAATGTTGAGTTTAACAATTTCAGAATGTGAGAACCCTGCTCCATGTTCATTACCTACCCTCACACCACTAGGTATATTTTGTTATGGGTTGCTCCTAGTACAGCCAACTCATTTTCAACCATTTACACTCGACAACACCCTACCCAGCATTTGTCTCAGTTTAGCATCAGCAATCTTTGTCTATCCCTCTTCTCTCTCTGGCTGGGCACCTTCTCTGTGTACCCCTTTTTCACTCCACCCACACCTCCAACCCTGTCATCAGCATATCCCACCTATTTTCAGTTCTGACAAAGGGTGACTGGACTAAAAGCATTAACTTTGTTTTTTTCTCTACAGACACTTAATTTCTCCAGCACCTTTCGTTTTCATTGCATTGAACGCTTCAACTTACATATCATTTAAAGGGGAGTCATGCAACTCCTTGAATAGGCAGTGGTACCATGTGAAACTCTTTAGAACTCTTATCATGGCAGCATATCATTACTCACCAGCACATATATTTCTATCTCAGTTTAGGTTTTTAAACACACAATTGACTAAAAATTAATTTTAAGTAAACACAATCAGTGACGTGATGAAATATTTCTATTTACAAACATAACAAAACAGAATACAAATTGAATACATCAAGAAGACAATGCTTTCAATTATCAACATTAAAACAGAGCATTATCCTAAAAAAACGTTTCTGTGACAGTGGTAAGCTTAAGCACTGTATTAGAATTCAATGTAAAAAAAAACTAACCTGCATTTTCATATTAACAATTCTACGAAATATAAATTCAATGTGTATCTTTTTTAATTGTAGAACAAATTGTTAAAAAATTGTAAAATGCACATTAATATTAACAGGTACTGATTTACTGAAAAAAGGAACATCTATTAATCAGCTCATATTTGAAATATCTAATTTCTATTTGTAAGTCAGAACATATATGAATTGGTACAGCATAACAGTTTACAATCAACCTCAAAAATTTTGAAAATGACATTGTTGCACAAATACTGCAATTTTTGCAAAGCAGTCCCAAGACCCGCTAAGATGCTTAATTCTGAGCAGTAACAATCTCAATGTACTCCATAACAGGAAACTTACTATATACATTGACTTTCAATATTCGACACGTAATTGATTCTGTGGTAAATCTGATTACCAGCGCTAGTATTTAATGTTTCTCTTCACATTTGGAGACAAGTGACATAATCTTCAGTTATTCAAGTAAGGGGAGATTAGACAAGTGCATTGGAGAGAAAGGAATAGAAGATTATATTGATATGGTTAGACAAAGTATTGACAGAAAACAACTGAAACAAATATCCTGTTTCTGTGCAGCAAATTCCAACAATTGTAATAAAATTGTATCAGAGATAGTAGGAACTGCAGATGCTAGAGAATCTGAGATAACAAGGTGTAGAGCTGGATGAACACAGCAGGCCAAGCAGCATCAGAGGAGCAGGAGGGCTCACGTTTTGGGCCTAGACCCTTCTTCAGAACAAGAAGTCCATTTCGTATTAAAAGATAAAATAGTTTTCTTACAATGGGTTGTGTAAAATTGTCAGAACAAAAAAAATTAGAAATATTGAAGCAAATGGACTCAGCTGATTTAATATTTAGATACTTGTAATTTTTTTTAAAAAGGTACTACTTCATTTCTCTATTGCAAAGATCCAGTTAATATGTAAATCAAGTTTCGATTGTGCTTCTGAAAATAAGGCAAAAGGGATTTGGGAGTCTTTGTATGGATTACAGTATGTTAACGTGATGGTACCAAAGCAATTAAGAGGGCAAATGACACTTTAAACTATATTACAAGGAGAATGAAGTATAACAGTAATCACTTGAATTTTATGCTGTGAATTTAATACGATTAAATATCCTGACGTGTTTCATAGAAGCATTAATAAACAAAAGTATGACACCAAGTCACATCAGGAGATATGAGGGTGGGTCGCCAAAAGCTCAGACAAAAGGTAAGTTTTAGAGAATGTCTTACAAGGGGGATGTATGGACCACAAGCTTTTGGAGGCAATTTCAAAGTTTATGGCTAGGCACAGTCAGTAACAGTGTAGCAATTAAAATCAGTCGTGCCAAATTGTAGATGTCTCAGAGGCTTCTGAGGCTAGTGAATATTGCAAAGTTAGGGAGCGGATTATAGGGGGATTAGGAAAATAAGTGATGAAAACTAAAACAAAGTTGTTGCGTGACTAGAAGGCAGCATATAACAGCAAGTACAAAGTTAATGAGATTCAGTGCAGCTTAGGAATATGAACAATGGATTTGTGTACGATCCCAAATTTACAGCAGCTAGTATATAAACTAATCTGGAATGCACTACTTTGGTCAAATCTGGAAGTGACAAGGACCTAGATAAGGATTTCAACATGGGCGAAGCTGGTCAATGTTACAAAGGCTAAAATAAGTTGCATCAGTGACACAATGTGGTTGAAAACCCTCTTCCTGGCCAAAAATGACACAGATTGTGGGTGGCACAGTGGCTCTTTGGTTAGCACTACTGCCTTACAGTGCCAGGAACCCAGGTCCGATGCCAGCCATGAGTTACTGTCTATCTGGAGTGTGTGCCCCCGTATCTGGATGGGTTTCCTCCCACATTCAGAATAGGGTGGAATACACTTTGCAAGGTCAGTGCAGACATGATAGGCCAAATGGCCTCTTTCTGTCTTGTATGGAATGCTGTGATTTTAAAGTCTGGTTTAGCCTCAGACACTTACCAGCAGAGGTATGCAGGCAGGAAATAGAGGTCATAGGAGCGATCAAAGACAATGGTTTCATTTGATCAATATTTGATTAGCAAACTTTCTGCTCATCCAGTACCTAATGCCAGACAAGCAGTTTTGAGTCAATGGTACCGGGTGTCACCATTGTACATGTGAAAACTGACACAAAACTGAAATTACTGGAGAAACTCAGTGAATCTGGCAGCATCTGTGGAGAGAAAACAGAGTTAATGTTTCAAGTCCAGTGATTCTTCATCAGAGTTGAAAGGTCACTGGACTCGAAATGTTATCTCTGTTTTCTCTTCACAGCTGGTGCCAGACCTGCTGACTTTCTTCAACTATTTCTGTTTTTGTTTCAGATTTCCAGAATCTGCAGTTTTATTTAATCTTAGTGTGAAAACAGATATTGAGTGTTCAGAAGATGTCGCAGAGGATATGAGCAAGAAGTGGTTGTATCACAGGTTCTCTATATTCACTCTTGGGATACCAACATTATTCTTTTTCAAAAGAGTGAGTAGAATGGGTCTACACGTTTGAACAATGTGAGGTGATCTTAATGAAATAAATAACATTGTGGGGAACTAAGGAAATTAAGGGATATGGGGATCTGGCAGGTAAGTGGAGTAGATGAGGAAGTTCATCCCCAATCTAACTGAATGGCAGACTGTCTCATGAGGTTTTAAGACTTACAACATTCTCTTATGTTTTTATATTCTGATCAGTTCAATTAGTTTTGATTAATACTGAGGTTTTGAATAGCCTATGATTAAATTATGTGCTGCAAGACCTGGACATTATTCAGGTTTGTGGTGTAAATTGACAAGTAACATATATGGTACACAAATGCCATTCAAATAAGAGAGAATCTGACCACTTTCACTTGAGATTCAATGGTATTTGCCATTATTGAATCCTCCACCATTTTGCATTCCAGGGTACAAACCTAATTAGACCAGCCAAATAAATAGTGACTATAAAAGCAAATCAAAGGCCGGCTATTAGTTGGTGAGTAACTCACTTTTTAGCCCTCCAAAGCCCTTTCACCATCAACAAGGCACAAGTCAGAATTATGATGAAATGGTTTCCACTTGCGACTAGAAATATAGGTGGATAAGAATTTAATTTTGAAATTATAATCTTGTGCTTCTTTGTATCGGGATGAGAAATTTCACAGAGCTTAAGTTTGTTGTGAGTTACAACTTTGATCACTTTTAACGAGATTCAGTAAACAGGTGGGGAAAATTAAAGTAGTCTGTGGTGTGAAAGAGCATTGTAGACCTCGAGTCCTCTTATTATATTCCTCATACATACACTATGCAGTAATACATTAGCAGGAAAGATTATGTGAAACAGCATTTTAACATTGCACTTTGGCGAGAAATTTGAATTTACAAAGTTCATGTAGAAAGCTGAAGATCATACTGTGAAAGATGATGGGTTGTCAACATCAAAATCAGAAGTGCGCCTGGACACAAATGTTTCACTGGTACGCCTTGAAGGGCTGTGACGAAATGTAATGTACTTTTTGCTTAAACACCAGATATCTTGAATAATTTTTGTAAAATAAAACCTGAACTTAACACCAATAAATGCATAGAGAACAGGGTTCAGACAACAATGTAAAAAGGCCAAAGATTGTGCTACTGTACGCACAATGGTCATTTGTTTGTGAAGGTCACATCTGTCTGTTTTATGTACAGTTTCGTAAAGTACAATGACATTGTATGGCACTTGGCAAAAGATAAATGTTACTACTACTGCCATTACAACTCGAAATGCCTTATGCCTCTGGAAATTTCTAGCTTGGAGAAGTGTGTTAATTATTAAAGAGTAACAGAAAACCATGATTAAAAGAGGTATGAAAAACCCCAGTGTGAGTTGTATTGTTGGAGCAATCATTTTACCAATGTTTGAATAGTTTTTAGGGTACCTGATATCACATATATATTCTCCAGTTGTTTCAAACTTGTACATTTCACTAAAAACGAATGTTGGCAAGGATACAACAATTCCTGATAGCCAGATAGCTACACAAATAATTTTACTGTAAATCAGTGTCTTTCCTCTATAATTGAAGGACTTAGTTGCATGAACAATAGCAATATATCGATCAATACTGATAACAGCTAGCAACAACATTCCACTGTAGAAGTTGACACAATACAGCCCCTTGAGAACTTTACATCCAATGACCTCGAAGATCCACCCATTTACTTCATTGGCAGCCCAGAATGGTAAAGTAACTACGAACAGTATATCAGCTATAGCCAAATTCATTAGGTACATGTCAGTCATAGACTTCACCTTCTTGTAAAGAGAATAGGTTAACACAACCAAACCATTGCCAATAATGCCTGCTGCAGTGATGATTGAATACAAAACTGGAATAAACACCCATGTAAATTTCCTGGTATCATTCATTGTACACAAGAATTCTATGTCGGTATAATCAAAAGTGCCATTGTATTCAAAGTAACTGTAATTGTCGAAAAGATATTCCATAGTTTTTGGTCAGTAGGTCTGGAAAACAGATAAACATAATTAATCATTATTAAAGACAATAAGGTTCTTGATATGATACTGTTAGATACCATAAGACTATTGAATTCAACAGTTGCTCAGTTAAGTCCTCTCCAGTCATTTTACAATTTTCGAATTATTTTAGGCAACCCCTATAATCAAATGATAACTATCCCAACATCTATTTTCAATATACCATGAAGAAGCAAACCTCAGAATCTGGAGCAAGGAAATGCTATCCTGTTTTTCTTCAATGCAGTGCTGCGTTTTATCAGGAAGATGTAATTATTCCAACTTGGTAGCCTGCAATTCAAAGTGTAATATTAAATAATCAATCATAAAGTAAAATGTTATCAAGAAATATGATATGAATTTCAGGAGCCCTACTTCTATGAACTATATTACACCTTCCATGATGCATACCATTACTGACTGCACACATATTACTTCATAGGCACCATGTGTCAACTCTCCTAAAGGCAAAACACTGTAAATGCTGAAAATCTGAAAGAAACACAGAGAATGCTGGAGAAACTCATCAGGTTTGACAACATCTGTGCAAAGAGAAACAGGATTAATATTACATGCCCAGTAAGACTTTTTTTTAAGAACACAAGCAGAGTCATACCTCACTCAAAACAGTAACTCTGTTTTCTCTCCACAAATGCTGCCAAATCTGCTGAGTTTCTGCAGCATTCTCTGTGTTTGCTTCAACCCTACCTTATATTAGAACGAAAAGACATTCCACCCCCTCAACAGCCAGCTGGACTGTTACTATTGGCATGGAATCATGAAACTCAGTACCCAATATCCTGGTAACCTTCATTCTGCTGTAACCCATAACTTAATATTTAAGCCACGACAGTGAACTGGCAGGTAGCTAATGAGTCATGAATGCTGTCTACTATCAATGTGGCTGATAACTCCAGTGTGTAACCTAGATGTATAAGCCCAACATGAAAATCAAAATCAGATAGAACATATCGCTGTCATGCTAAAACAATGTTTCAGTGAGCTGAACTGCTCAGGGGGAGCCCTGCAGTACTCAGAAATGATTTCATGATTTATGAAAATCTGCTGCATGCTTCACCATCATCCCTCATAAGAGGTCAACCCTTTTCATCAACTATATTGAGCGTAGCTGAGGAGAGAAAAAGAAGGAGCTGGAAGGAGGAAGGAATTTGTACAGCAATTTCTGGCTAGGCTGTCCATCTAGGCGTGATATCAGAAACTGAAACACAAACTCCCCATTTGCCTCACCCTCTCTGTGTTACTGTCTATTGCGATATTTGCTTGACCAGAATGATATGTCTGTCATGGTTGAATTTTTGGCAGTGTGTGTAACCTGTAAGGTGTGTACTGCAGTACTAATTGTGAAAGGCTGAGGTAGAAGATACTTGTGTTGATTTGAGTCCTGATTGATAATGATCATGTGTGGGTGTGTGATGGAGGTGTGATAAATTGAGTAATATTTGAGACGAGTGATGTACCAGCAAAACATGGCATTTGAAGGTGCATTGACTGACCTTGACCATTTGTTTGAGGCCTTTGAAGGTCTTGTGGCACTGTGTAGGTTTTAGGGGTTGCAAGGTGTAATAGCCCTTTAATGAAAATTCTTAACTTCCAAATTCTCAATTTACAACAATGGGATCCCAGATGTGCCATGACCTACTGGGTATAAAATGACTAGTATTAGTGAATCAAGTAGAATTTATTAAGCAGGACGTTAGGTACATTTAACGTAAAGAAATGAAGACATTACGGATTTTCATATTCCCTAGGAGTCTGGATTCCCTCTTTCTCTGATGGCACAGGTGAAAATCTTCTTTTTGTGTCTCTGAATTGATCTTGAAATAAGTCTCAGAAGTACTACACGATGGAAGTATTGGTGCATTTGTGCTGAGGAAGGCTCTGAATTCTCAACTTTTCTCCTATTTTCAACAGTCTCAGATTCCTTTTAAGAAACAGTCCGAACTAACTGTTCCTACTGGCTATAAGTAAGAGTCAGCTGGTGTCACCCCAACTTAATTTCCTCCGTCATTTGGGTCATACAGAATAAGACAAATGTCAATTTCCTATTCCCTAACCACCCTGTGGTTACATGATTTTATATATATATTCCAGTTATGCAAATATTACTACATTCCCAAGTACAAACCATTACAAAGATTCACATAAATAGACCAAGTTGTTCATGCAGATCAAAGCAAGAGATGGAGGTGGATTATTTCTCACCAAGGCGTGGCATGAACAATGGCAAGAAAGGTGACAAACAGAATGAAAAACAAATCAGGATGTTGACAATAAAAACTTGTAGCTTTTGTATCAAGCCTCAAATGGTGAATTCAGAATTGTGCCATTGTGCGGTGACTTCTTTCCTCCACACATTTGCATCTTATTAAAGCCTCAACTTGCTTTATTTATGGTGGACTTTCAATTCTCATCTCCTTCCACGAGAAAGTAGAAGACACCAAATTCCGTCATGTAAACAAGAGCAGGTACCTGGCAATTACAGCTCACCAAATCCAGCCAATATGTAAATACTTTGTCACAACAGTGTCCCATTAAGCCCAAATTGGCAGCAAAAAGCCACCAGCCTTGCCATATCATTACACTAACACACCACATAAGCCCTTCAAAACTTTAACGTGGAGCTCAGGACACCTATGACTTGCAGGCTTTGAATAGGCAAGGGAAGGACCTGACACTTTACGGACAAATACTATATTAATGTTATACCTGGAGCACGTACCAGCAGTTTAATGCAGCAAACATGTTGCTTATGCTTCAAGCAAATGCCAATGTGTGACAGTCAAAGGGCAGCAGCAGTACTTAGTGGGCTGAGGGGGACTACAGTCAGTCAGGGGATACCACCACAATCAGTCAAGTGGTTCATCCAATTCTAGTTCTGGAATTTAGCAATGGTCAGTAAAATGTTTCGTGCTACCAGAGTTCCAGTATCCATTACCTTACAATCTGGGGATTGCAGGTTAAGTGCAACCAGTCTGAAGATTACAGGTAGGTTAGTCAGGGTACTATGGAGACATCAGCACATCATTTGGATCATTTTGAGATGGGATTAATGGAAGTAGATGAAAGAGCAGTTAGTGATGATGCACAAGCAGGGCAGATGATGAAATGTCTCCAGTAAGTGAGTGGGAAACAGAATGGGCTGGAAGGGTTGGGAGGATCAGGTGGATGAAAGCCATTGAGTGGACATGATGCATGCAATAGTGAGAATTGTAGTCAATGAGCTAACAATAGACCATGGTGAGAGGTGTCTGCAGTGGCAAAGTGGAGTCAGTGATGATATGTGAGTGTAAGCAGAAGCATGATGGTGGTATTTACCCTTGCAGATGGCAAAATCATCATTGATATTCTTCATGCATCACTGGCAGTCCCAGTTCACACAGGACACAGCCCTTTCCCAGGCTGACTACATAATTAATGAAGAATGTAAAACTGCATGAGCAAAGTCACTCCAAGCCTTTATGGGCTAGGCACCGTGAATCTCACTCAGCAGAACACTTCAATTGAAAATCAAAAATTTGTTGCGAATGACATCTTCATGAAATATTGGTAGTCTCCTGTATTAATACAGTTAATAAATCAAGATATTAGCATAGACAATTCAAAACCAAATAGTTTATGTTTAACAAATATCAAAATATAGAAGCCATTTTGAGTTCAAGCTATTGGCAAAAACATGTTTATTTCATTCAGGCTGACAGAAGACTTGAATTATACACAGTGGAACTAAGACTGATATGAGTTTTAAGTAGACATTTCTGCACCTTTATAGTTATTGATTTATTAAGAAGAGCAGTTTCTCACTGACACAGTTGCTTCCCTGTTCTCAAACTGCTTTTAATTATCTCAGGTATCAGGCAGGAATCTAAACTAATCTATTTAAAAAGATGACCAAGGTAAATTCCAAAAATATTTGTTCAAACTGACATAGGAGTAGTATTTTTAAAAATGTTTAACTGCATCTAGGCCTACTTGGTAATGACTTCCACTGGTACCTGTACCAGTGCTTTCTGAATGTGTCTAGAGATACAAGATATCTTGCCTTATTCATCTCCTTCACCAAGATTTGCAACGCAGCATCTGAAAACAGTTTTCTCTTGTCTGGTGCCATTCTTCAATGTTTCCTAGAGAACAGTCACCTTCTGATTAACTGCAAGCCAACGCACCATTCCTTTAAGAAGGTGAAGGCAAGTGTTGAGTCATGCCGGCTAGTTTTAAATGGTCTAGCCACTCTTCACATTGATTGGACATATCAGCAGCGATACAATCAAAGCACCATTAGTGTTGGCTAGACACTAAAATCATTGAAAGGGACAGATGGCATGAAGATAGCATCTGACTGCATTGTAAACAACTATTGTGGATTAACATACTTCAATTCAGGCTGAATTTAGCCCCTCTTTCGTTTTCTTCCATAATCTGACAAATTGTATATCTAAGTACAAATTCCTCTCATCTCCTGTATCTCAAATCAGGATTTAGGGAAGGGTGAAGTTGCCCTTGAATGCCCTCTCAAAATTAATGTCTGGGGTGACAAGTGAGTGATTAGAGGAGCTATAGCTGTATAGGGTCAGATTAGCTAACGGCTCAGCTAGTTTTGGAGCATATGTCTTCCAAAAATATTGTCAGGACTATTAGCCTTTATAGCATTCAGTGCCTTTAACTGTGTCTTGGAAAGATATGCCATGGAAAGAATCAAATTGGCTGAATTGGCCATGATGCTGGGAACCTCTGAAGGAGGCAATGATAGATCATCTATTTGGCACTTTTGGCTGAAGTTATTGCAAATGCTTCAATCCTATCTTTTGCACTGATCTGCTGGTCGCCTTTGTACAACTTCTTCTCCAGTGAATTGTTTACTTGTCCACCACCATTCATGACTGGATGTTGCAGAACTACTGAGCCTAGGTCTGATTAAACTGTTATGGAATCACTTAGCCCTGTCTATAAGTTACTACTTTTATTGCTGGATATGCAAATAGTCCTGTTTTGTAGCTTTGCCCAATTGACACCTCATTTTTACTTCTGCCTGGTCCTGATCCTCGCATATCCTCCTGCCCTCTTTATTGAACCAGTGTTGATACCTTGGCTTGATGGTAACGGTACAGCAGAGAGTATGCCAGGCTGAAAGGTTAAAGATTGTGTTGGTGTATATTTTTGCTGCTATTGATGGCTCACAGTACCTCACGGATGCTCAGTTTTGCATTGCTGGATCTATTTAGCATGGTGGTAGTGCTTCATAACACAGTGAGGATATCCTTCTTGTGGAGATG